CCTGTCCCGCCGGACTCGCGCCTCCTCCTCCTCCCCGCCGAGCGGCAGCCTCTGGGCCCGCGGCCCGCGGAGGATGAAAGACTCGAAGCCCAGTAGGAAGGAAGAGGAAGGAAAGAAGGAGAAAAAGCGGAGAGTGGGAGCAAAGGGAGGAGGTGGGCATGCCCGGGGAGGAAGGAGGGAAAGGGAAACTAGTGGGAAGGGAGGGGGGAGAGAGAAGAAAGTCCGAAGTAAGTATGCAAGTCCCAAAGCACAGCTCGATGACTGGCTCTGCACATAGTGTTAGTGACACTTGAGCCTAGTTCCGTGGAACCTGAGCCACCAGCTTCAAATACGCTGGGTCCTGAACTGCCGGAGAGTAAGCAAGCAGGTGCTTGGAGCTCCACACCTGAGATCGCCTCTATAAAGTCTATACAAAGCAGTCGGGGAAATGGCCATACTGCACTGGTTCAATCTAAGCACACGCACAAGGCTTCTTCCAAGATTGTGGTAAAAGAGCAATACTCTTTCCTTTCCTTACTGACAAATTTTCAAACCCGATTCAATCTACAGGTCCTATACTTGCCCCTCAACTTTCCCTCCTAGCCTCGTGAAAACGTTTAAAAGCAAAACATAAAGTTCTAACACTCACCTCACTGGTTCAAAGATGTTAATTGTATTCTGGAACTTGGGGCGGTGGGTTATTGGGGCGGGTGGGGGTTGGCTTGGAAACAAAACAATTAGAAATATATCTGTAGTCAGCACAGATCTTACAGGTCACTAGGCCAGGTAGTATATTTAGATACAAATTGAAAGATTTTGTTCAGGTATATAATTAGATAGTTGTTAGTATTCATTTAAAAATTTCTCAATTGAAGAATGCTTGAATGGCTGAGGAGGCGGATGATTGAGTCAGTCCCATTCTGGGCACCCAAGACAATAATTGAATGTAAAAATTCATAGAAATGAACCTCATAGAAACAGAAGTTATAAGTTTTTATTTTCACATGGAGTCTGCCCCATGCCAAAACACCTAGACAACGGGAGGTATCTATTTGCATATTTGGAGGCATCAGAGGATTGATCGATTTTGTCACCTTTGAGCTAAATGTGTGGAATCTTGCAATAGCTGAGGGTTGTTCATTCCACGCCTACTGTGGGGGGAAGCTTATTCATTCAATAAATATTGACCCTCTGCACCATACTATGTGCACAACACTGTACTTACATTGAAATCCAGGAAGTATGCTTCCCACTCTCAAAGAGTATATGAATTAGGTCAGATCTGTGTACCTAATCAGATGAATAGCCACTATTTATTGAGCACATTTTGGGTGCCGAGTACCATACCATGTCTTACTCCATAATTCTTCAAATAATATATTGCTTCATTTGGTCTTCACAGTAACCCTCTAAGATTGCTCATTTACGTATGAGGAAATTGAACATCATTAGTGACTTGCCCAACATCACACAGCTAGAAAGTGAGAGTCAGGATTTGAACGCAGACATGTCCAACACCAAAAACCATGCCATTGTGCCTCTCAATACCAAAGTATGATAGAAGATTGGCAACGGATAAAAGATGGTGACATTAAGCTACAGTGGGTTGAATGGAGTTTAAACAAAAATAAGAACTTTGTTTTTATGGAAAGATTGAGAAACATTGAAATATGTTACTAAGGAAAGATGAAGACTCTCCTTAAGGAGAGATTTTATGAAATAGATCAACTGTCTAGGATGGTTAGATGCAACCTAAAGACAAAAGAGGTGCATTAACTGGTTTGAAATATGAGATTGCATCCTCTCAAACCTCATCATCCCTGTTAGATATAGTATCCTCCTGTTTGAGACAAAGTAACAATTCATTGTCAACCACTAGTGGTGTTTAAAAACATGCATTAATTTGTTTGTCTGTGTTGCAGAAGAGACAGCAGATTGGGTTTTTTAAAATGTTCCACAACAACTGGTACATTATTAGGGTGTCTTGTTTTGTTTTGTACTTTATCCTTAACTATCAGAGCCTACCTTTTAATTTGTTTGAAACTAGGTCAAATACAATATCAGATAATAGGTACCGATTTAGTCACCACTCCACTAAGAAGTGACCACTTCTAGAGTAGAAAACCTGTGCCATTTAATGACATCACACAACAGTTTAGCACAGGAAGCAAAGTGGGATACCATGGATGGCTGCTTCTGATAGGGGAACTTAGGAAAGCAGAATGTAATCTCCCAATTTAGAATTTGGCCAGTAGACAAGAGTCTAACGCCCCTACTCTTGTGAAAATAGCAAGGAATCTTTAATAAGCACCAGTAGTCATGTCTTTAGTTCTGTATTTCATCTAAAAGACAAAGCACTATCATGGCTATCATACCCGGCTAGGGGACTGATGCAATGGGAAACCCTAAGACAAGGACATCCCAACTGAATTACAAAAATAGCTTTCCCCCAGGGATTTTAAATGCCAATTCCAAACCTCACAAGCCTAAAGGAAATAGACAAACCCAAACATGATCATTGCAGAAAATACGTCATTATCTGACCACTAGGCATTACTATCTGAAGTACTTTGTTGTGTTGGCTGCCTAAAAGGGGGAAAACCACTCTAATCTTTTGCTCTACACTAACTTCTCCCAAGCCTGGCTCATCTCCCGTACTAACCTCGAGCCTCAAGATGCTTTGCAAATCCCCTGGCAAGTAGTGGTGGTGGTGGTAATGCCTCCTTTTAGCCTTTGAGGAAATACCTCTCCTGGTCTTGTTTTCTTGCAAAGTCACCACCATAGAAATAAACATGTTTCATTCAAACAATCCACAGATCATATTCTGTGAAAAAAAACAACAACAAAAACTTTTTTTACATCTACACAAAGTGCATACTGGATGGGGAAACCAACCTTGCTCAAGATTCTCTTGATTTGAAGCGTAAAGGTCAAAGTATGATAGAGCACATGTGTTTCTACCCGCTGCTGATACTGGTGTGCCGTGATAATATCCTCCAGAGGAAATGTTAAGGTGCTTTCTGCTTTTTGTAACTGACTGTCAAGCTGGGAGCTAAAGATTCCACGTTTTTTTTTTCCTTCAATTTTTTAACGTTTGTTTGTTTGTTTATTTATTTAGTTTAATGGAGGTACTGGAGATTGAACCCAGGACCTTGTGCATGCTAAGCACACACTCTACCACTAAGCTATACCCTTACCCCCCATTCCATGTTTCTTTTAAATAAAAAATGTAATTAGGCCATAGTCTCTTTGTCAACAAAGCACATTTAAACTGTAAGCATTTCTGCTTCTGCCTCTGCCTCTAAACTGCTATTAACTAACTCTTATCAAATGTTATACAACTGTGAAAAACTACTTGAACAATGGTTAGGCACATTTTTTACTATGCAGTAAAGCTGAAAATTGAATTAAGCCCAATAGTTACTGATTATTTTATCATTACCTCAGTTTTTTCTCATGTTTACAATACAGTTATTTTTCATTTCAGGAGGGAAAAGAATAATTGTAATTTGATGAGTAGTGAACACTTTAATGTTGCAAAATTATTTTCTTAGGTTTCTGGCAGTGTGGGTGAGATGAGGAATGTTCACATAGTTCAATGAAAAAAAAAAACTTCCATTTATGCCCAAACAAGTGTTATTTTTATCCTCTGTCATCAAACTTTCTCAACTGTCATCCTTGAACAACTGCAGAATGTAATATTATTAGCTACCACTTTGATCTAACCTTGTACACATATGACACATGGTTGTAGCGGCAGAGGTGGTGATCAGTTCCCTTTTATATTTGAATGAATACGTGAATAAATACTGAAATTCTTTACCTACTTTTCAATTCAAATGGATAAATCAGTTTTTGTTTTCTTGATTACAAATCAGATCCTTCCCTCCTGAATCCTTTCTTTATCTAATGAACACAATAATGAGCCAAAGTACCATGATCTACTTTTGACTGTTTTCTAGTTGTTTCATTTATATCTTCTATTGTTAACTGCAGTGCAAACTAACTGAATGTTGTTTTGCTACCTATTTCACTGGGACAAAGTTATATAAACTCCTTAATGAGATTTAGATATGCTAATATCTATACTGAATGTGGAAGAATTCAAGAAGCTAGCTAGTTGTGGATTGGAAAGAAGAGCTTTTTAGGGAGAAGATGATCAAAACGAGTATTATTTGAAGGCAGTTAGAGGAGTTATGAGCAACTAAAACATGAAGGTGTCTACTATAGTTCGGAGAATCTTTACTTGACTATTTCCATCTTTTCTCTCTTCCCTAAAGACTTCATCTACTATCCTCTGTGCATTTAATGGGGTGAGAAAATATATATACTACAAGTGTGCTCCACCTCCAAATTTATTTTGGCTTTTTTTTTAAATGAAGGTACTGGGAATTGAACCCAGGACCTTGTGCATGCAGAGCATATGCTCTGCCACTGAGCTATATCCACCCCTTCCAAATTTAATTATAAACATACAGTTGTTCTCCTATAACTCATCTCATCATGTTCTGGAGCACCTATTCCAGTTGCCTGTAGGCACACGTTGGGCACAGGTTGGACAGATTAAGGTTGTCAATTAAAATGTAAAAATGTCTTCTGAATTAAAAGTCTCTTTTGTGCACACATTAGATTTAAAGTTCAAACTCACTCATGGCAGTGAATCCCATAATCTCTGCTGGATCCTAGTTGAAGTCTAGCTCATTTTGCCTCACCCCATTCACTGCTTAAATGTCCATAATTTATGGCTTTTTCTCTCTGTATGGGCAATGCACAATGATTGTGTCAGGAAGCTCAGCCATCTCTCCTTACTTACTGCTGTCCAGGATTCCTACCTCAGCTCCGACTGGTCTTCTAGCCCTCTAAACTTCAGCCGTATCCTCCATCCAGCCCCTGACTTTGGGGCTGTTCACTCATGCCACAGCAACTGCCTGGCAGAGGCAATACACTGCCTTTTAATTCTCAGCTGCCTTCTGCATCCTCTACAGGTCCCCACAAGGAATTCTGGATTACTTCCGTTCCACTTGACAGGCCTGTCTCTCACTAACCCTTCATACTGCCATTTCTACTGCAGATGTGTCATAGTGGCATATGGCTTTTCAAAGGGGCTTGAAATTTCCTATGCTACATCCTGCTCTGTGATTCCCCCAAACATCTCTGATTGTTTCTTTCATCTTTTCATTGAGATATAATTCACAAAGCAGGCAATCCACCCATTTAAATTCAATGGTTTTTAATATATTCATGGAGTTGCACAATCACCAACATAATTTTGGAACACTTTCATCACCCCAAAAAGAAGCTCCATACCTGTTAACAGTCACTCTCCATTCCCTCCCAATGACCCCCACCTCACAGCCCCTGGCAACCAAAAATCTACTTTCTGTTTCTATAGATTTGCCTACCGGACATTTCATGTAAAAGAAATCATATAATATTTGTCCTTTTGTGTCTGCCTTATTTCACTTAGCATCATGTTTTCAAGGTTCCTCCATGTTGTAGTATCTATCAGTACTTCATTCTTTTTTGTGGCAGTATAACATTCCATTATATGGCTATACTAGTTTGTTTAACCATTCATCAATTGATTGACATTTGGGTTGTTTCCATTTTTTGGTTATAATGAATAATGCTACAATGAACATTCATGTACAAGTTTTTATGTAGATCTATGTTTTCATTTCTCTTAAATATATACCTAGTGGTGGAATCTTATATATATATAATGGGTTATATGGTAACTCCATATTTAACCTTTTGAGGAACTGGCAGATTGTTTCCCAAATCAGCTACACCATTTTAAAACACCACCTGTAGTGTATGAGGGTCCCAGTTTTTCCACATTCTTGCTAAAACTTTTTTTTATACTTTAGAAAATTTATTATTGTAGCCATCCTAGTGGTGTGAAGTAGTATCTCATTGTAGTTTTGATTTGCATTTCTCTAATGACTAACATGTGCTTATCAGCCATTTGTATATCATTTTTGGAGAAATGTTTATTCAAATCATTTGCCTATTTTAAAATTGAGTTGTCTTAGTGTTTTTTGGTTGTAAGAATCTTTATATATATGTGATACCAGGATATAGCATTTTCAGATATTTTCTTCCATTCTATGGGTTGTCTTTTCACTTTCTTAATGATGTCCAATTTATTTTTTGCTTGTATTTTTGATACTATGTCTAAGAAACCACTGCCAAATACAAGGTCATGAAGATTTACATCGAGGTTTAATTTTAAGAGTTCCATAGTTTTAGCTCTTACAGTTCAGTCTTTGATCCATTATTAGTTAATTGTTGTACATAGTGTGAGGAAAGGATCCAAATTCATTCTTCTGCATATGAATATCCAGTTGTCCCAGCCAACATCTGTTGAATAGATTTCATTCCCCATTGAAATGTCTTGGCACTCTTGTCAAAAACCAATCAAATATAATATAAGGGTTTATTTCTGGGCCCTCAATTCTATTCCATTGATCTATATGTTTGTGCTTGGGCCAGCACTACACTGTCTTGATTACTGTAGCTTTGTAGTAAGTTTTGAAACTAGGAAGTGTGAGTACTCTAAATTTGTTCTTCTTTTTCAAGATTGTTTTGGCTTTTCTGGGATCCAGTGCATTTCCATATTAATTTCATGATCATCTTGTCAATTTATGTAAAGCAGCCAATTGGGATTTTGATAGGTGTTGCATTGAATGTAGATCAATTTGAGGAGTACTGACATCTTAACAATGTTAAGTCTTTCAATCTGTGAACATGGGATTTCTCTTCAGTTATTAAGGTCTATTTAAATTTCCTTCAAAAATGTTTTATAGTTTTCAGAGTATAATTTTGCATTTATTTTGTTAAACTTATTTCTAAGTATTTTATTCTTTTTGAAGTTATTGTAGATGGAATTGTTCTTATTAATTTCAGTTTTGGATTGTACACTGTATAGAAACATAACTGATATTTATATATTGATCCTACAACCCACCTGAACTGTTTATTAGTTCTAATAATTTTTATTGAATTTCTTAGTATACAAGATATATATCTTCCATATACAAGATCATGTCATCTGCAAATAGATGTTTTTACTTCTTCCTTTCCAATCTAGATATCTTTTATTTCTTTTTCTTGTCTAATTGCTTTAGCTAAAACCACCAGTACAATATTGAATAAAACTGGCAAGAGAGGACATCCTTGTCTTGTTCCTGATCTTAAAGTGAAAGCTTTTAGTCTTTTACCATTAAGTACAATGTTAGCTGTGGGTTTTTTACTGATGCCCTTTATTAGGTTGAGGAAGTTCCCTCCTATTTCTAGTTTGCTGAACTTTTTTTTTCTCTACACTCTTACATTTTATTATCACAGTTGTTCAATATACAATAAAAAGTTACTAGACACGCAAAAATAAGCAAACAGAACAATCCAGGAAAAATGTATTCCCTAGTGAATTAAAAATGAAATCAATGCTGAACTTTTTTTTTTAACCATGAAAGGTTGGATTTTGTCAAATGCCTTTTCTGTGTAATGAAAGGATCATGTGCTTTTTGTCCTTTATGCTGTTGATATGGTGTATTACATTAATTGATTTGGGGATGTTAAACCATCCTTCCAATCCTGGGATGAATCCCATTTGGTCACAGTGTATGATTCTTTTTATATGTTGCTGGATCAATTTGCTTGCATTTTGTAGAGGATTTTTAATCTATATTCTATCTATATAAGAAATATTGGTCTGAGTTTTCTCATGGTGTCTTTGTCTAGTTTTGGTATAAGGATAATACTGACCTCATTGGACAAGTTGGGAAGTTTTTTTCTCTTATGTATTTTGGATGAGTTTGAAAAGAATTGGTATTAATTCTTCTTTAAAAGTGTCAAATTCACCAGAGAAGCCATCTGGTCCTGGCTTTTCTTTGTTGGAGAATTTTTTTTAAAAAAATCACTGACTCAATCTTGCTGTTTGTTATAGGTCTATTAAGATTTTCTTTTTTTTAAATCACTTTTGGCAGTTTGTGTGTTTCTAGAAATTTGTTCATTTCATCTAGGTTATCTAATGTGTTAGCATATGATTGTTTATAGTATTCTCTTCTAATCCTTTTTATTTCTGTAAGGTCTATAGTAATGTCCTTTCTTTCATTTCTGACTTGAGTAGTTTCAATCTTCTCTCTTTTTTTTCCCTCTTGATCAGTCTAACTAAATGCTTGTTAATTTTGCTGTTCTAAAACTAACTTTTGTTTCATTAATTTTCTCTACTGAATTTCTATTCTCCATTTCATTTATCTCTGTACTAATCTTTATTATTTTATTCCCTATGTTTGCTTTTGGGTTTACTTTACTCTTTGCTCTAGTTTTTTAAGGTGAACACTTAGGGTTTTAGTTTGAGATATTTCAGATTTTTTAAAAAAAGTTCTTACAGCTATAAATTTCCCTCTAAGCGTTACTTTAGCTTCATTCCATAAAGTTTTGTATGTTGTAGTTTTGCTTTTGTTCATCTTAAAATATTTCCTAATTTCTCTTGTGATTTTTTTGGATACTTTAGTTATTTGAGTGTTTTAATTTCCACATATATTTGTGAGTTTCCCAAATCTCTTTCTGTTATTTATTTCTAATTTCATTCCTTCCTGGTACAGAATATACTTTCTATGACTTCAATCATTTAAAATGTTTTGAACCTTGTTTTATGGCCTAGCATATAACTACAGTGGAAACTATTCCACATACACTTGAGAAGATGATGTATTCTATTGTTACTGGGTGGAATGCTTTATAGATGTATGTTAGGTTTAGTTGGTATATAGTGTTGTCTAAGTCTTCTCTTTACTTATCGAGGGGCAAGACAGGCTCATACATAACCATAATAAATATTTTTGGCTTTTATTCAAAGAGCCAAATGGGAAGCCACTGAAAGATTCAATAAGATCAATTTTGCTGCTCTATGGAGAATGTACTAGAAGAAAACAGAGAGGAGGTAATGAGACCAATCAGGAAACTTCTGTAATCCAGGGTAGGCCTGGACTTAGGTGGTAGCAGTTATGATGAAATGAAGAGAAATATTCTTCATAAATTTTGGAGATAGATAGAGTCAACAAGACTTACTGATAGATATGTTACTGAGGTGAAGAAAAAGAAGGAATTAAATATGATGCCTAGATTTCTCCTTTAAGTAACTAAATAAGTGGTGGTGACATACTGAGATGGAGAAGATAGGGATAGGAGCTGGTTGGGAGAAATAGCAAGAGTTCTTGACATAATAAGTTTAAAGTATGTGCTAGATATCCAAGTGGAGATGTCAAGTAGATAGTCAAATATGCATGTTATGAGCTCAGATTAGAATCTTGACTAGAGAAACTTGAGAGTTATCAGTATATAGATGGTATTAGAAGCCATGATCTGGATGAGATGACCTAGAGAAGGTATGCAGTCACTCTCTGTATCCATGGATTTCACATCCGCAGATTCAACCAACCCAT